GCAAAAAGACATGTTAACTCTGAGAGACAGAAGACAAAAAGACATGTTCGCTCTGAGAGACAGAGGGCAAAAAGACATGTTAACTCTGAGAGACAGAAGACAAAAAGACATGTTCGCTCTGAGAGACAGAGGACAAGAAGACATGTTAACTCTGAGAGACAGAGGACAAAAAGACATGTTAACTCTGAGAGACAGAGGACAAAAAGACATGTTAACTCTGAGAGACAGTGGAGGACACGAAGACATGATAGCTTTGAGAGACAAAAGACAAGAAGACAGAAGACATGATAGCTTTGAGAGACAGAGGACAAGAAGACATGTAAGGTTTGAGAGATAGAGGACAAGAAGACAGAAGACATGTTAGCTCAGAGACAGAAAACAAGAAGACATGTAAGGTTTGAGAAACAGAGGACAAGAAGACACTCTAACTCTGAGAGACAGAGCAGGACAAGCGGGAGGACATGTCCTCCCTCTGACCTGATGTGTAGAAGACTCGTGTCTCCTCAGAGGTCATGTCTCCGTCCTCCTCGGCGTCAGCAGCTGCGGAGCGAAGAAGCTGTGTCAGCTGAGTCTCTGTGAGAYGCCAGGACAGACGGCTGTTGTCCTGCAGCGTTTTGTCCTCAGGTCGAAGGTCACAGAAGTGGGGGAAGTGAGCTGTGATTGGCTGGAGGAYGTAGGTGGGCGGGACAGCGTTGTGGTCCTTCAGGAACCAGCGCTGCAGCTGCTTGAGTCCTTCGGGGTTTTTGGACAGTTTGGACAGAAGAATCTCAAACTGTCCCTCCGGGACGAGACGAGGAAGATCCCTGGAGCCGTACCGGTTCCCCAGGAGGCCCTTTGGAGCCCAAAAACACAAAACGCCAACGTCAAAGTTCAACAAGGACTCTTGGACCATCTGTCAATCACTGAACAGGAAGTGGCTCCTGTGTGGTCCCGCCCCCACCCTGTCACTCAGCATTTTGATGAAGAGGAGGAAGAACTCACGACGAAGGCCGGTCCAGCTGAAACCCTCTGACAGGTCCGGATCTCGTGCAGGGAGACCTCCCAGTCCTCGTGGTCTCCAAACGAGACGCTTCGAAGCCCCCAGCGCAGGTCCACCACCTGTACAGGAAGTGATGTCATTATGAGCCAGAACATTAGGACCACTCACCTGCTGGTTCAGGTGTCTCAGCTCGGGTTCTTTGGGGTTTCTTGGTTTTTGTCTCAAACTGGTCTCAATAAAACCTGAAGACTGAGACGGACCTCAAAGACCAGACCCAGACCGCRGCAGAAGGACTGGACTTCTGGGTACGCCTTCTCCAGCAGGATCTTCCTCTCGCTGCTCATATCTGGTCCAGAACAGAAACACAGAGACCTGCTGGRTCAGACCTGAACAGGACTAAGACCCAGACTCTTATTTTGAAGAGTCTGCGAGAGCTTTATTTTGAAACTTATTGCTTTTAAATCCTGCAGTCCTGGTCTGACCCAGAACCCACAGATCCACCCAGTCTCACCTGAGAACGTGGAGCTGAGGAAGACTCTGATCATGTTGCTCTTCATCCTCGGAGCTTCATCACGGTGTCTCATCAGGACGTCCTGCAGGTCCACGTCTCCCGCTGCTGCCATCCTCTTCTCCAGCTGCTGTCGTCTCCGTCTGCTGGGTGCTGATCCTTCCTCCTCCTCCACCTCACCGCTGTCCTCAGAGACGTCCCTCCACAACAACCTGCTGTCCCTCAGGACTTCCTGCTGTCCCTCAGGACTTCCTGTCTCACCTGCGCTGTCTCTGAAGCTGTCCTGCAGCTGCAGGTTGGACTCCCTGAACCGGACCAGATGGACGAGGACAAAGAGGACAGAAATGAATGTAGAAACAGGAAGTAAAATGTCTTCTGATGGAGACTCTGAGGGGACAGAGACTCTGAACAGAACCAGAGTCGGGTCAGATTTCAGGAGGTTCTGGTTCTGGTCCAGGTGAGTGAGAGAAGCTCTCTGATTGGCTGAAACCAGGTGACTCAGGGTGACCTCACTTTATGGATGAAACATAAAAACAGGTGAGGTGCTCCTCCTCACCTGCACAGGTGTTTACTGGGCGGGGCCCCTGGGGGCGGGGCCTCAGGGGGCCGCTGCTCTCAGCTGCAGAAACAAACACCTGCAGGTGACGTCATGCAGGTGAGTTCAGCAGGTGTTTGAGTGAAACCAGGCAGAAAGTTCAAAACAGATTCTGATGAAACATTGATCCTCCTTAGGACTGAACCTGACACCGGCTTCAGCTGATTGGTTTAATTC